ATTTCCATTTCCATGTAATATACACATCTACTTCAGCCCTAATGGCATAAGAAAGGCAATATTTTAATAGAACTTTGGGAAAAAATTTCAGTCAATACCAAATGGATATACTTATAACACAGTTCCCATTCGATCTGCAGCCAAACATCAGATCAAATTTATATTCTTAAATCTGAAAGAAAATAATTCTACAGGAACAACTGTTACTCTGACTTAATCAACAACCTTTTAAGTTGGGCAGAATACAACACTAAGTCAAAGTCACTCAGAGCCAGTTATATCTGGCTCTTTGTGACCCCATGGACCACACAATCCATGGAAATTCTCCAGGCCAGAATACTGGAGTGGGTAGTGGCTCCCTTCTTCAGGGGCTCTTCCCAACCCAGGGATTGAACCCAGATCTCTGCATTACAGGCAGATTCTTACCAGCTGAGCCACCAGGGAAGCCCAAGAATATCGGAGTGGGTAGCTTATCCCTTCTCCAGCGGATCTGTCTGATCAAGGAATTGAACCGGGGTCACCTGCATTGCAGGAGTATTCTTTACCAACTGAGTACCAGGGAAGACTAGTACCAAAAAAGGGAATATACAGACCTGACCCTGAAGAGTAGGAGACAATGTGAAATGATACACAAACACTTTGAAGTTTAGTTACACAGTACACTTTGACTCTAAAAACTGATAAGAGGTATTAAAGTTATAGTTAAATGGCTAGAAAAGGTTATTTCAGCAAGGCTTCCTAGAAGCCTTTCTGGGCTTCCCTGGTGGTTTAGAAGGTAAAGAATCCATCTGCAATGCAGGAGACTCAGGTGTGATCCCTGAGTTGGGAAGATTCCCTGGAGAAGGGAATGGCTACCAAGTCCAGTATTCTTGCAAGGACAGAAGAGCCTGGCAGGTTGCAGTCCATGGGTTTGCAAAGGGTCAGACACAACTGAGTGACTACTATACTTTTCATGAGGTTATAATTACACAGTTAGAAAATGTTGTTTAAGCAAAGCCTTCCTAGAACAGTCAAGTGTTAAAGAAGTCACAGACTGGCAGACAAGAAGAGAAGAAATAGATGTGCTATACACAAGCTCAGGTGAGTGTAGTGTGTAAGCCAAATGATGAAGGGTCTGAAAAAGTTTTGATTTAATAAAATGAGGTTATTTAATACAACAAGGTTATTCCAGCAGTAAGATGCTGAGAGGAGACCAGTGACAGTGACAATAGTTATAACACTGTTATTACCATTAGGTCATGATGATATGGATTAGAACCCATAGAGATGGAAAGAAAAAAAAAAAGAAAAATCTATGAAACACCAGAGAGTAAGAATTAAGGGCATTCTAATAAGAAAAAGCAATACTACTGTCCATTGTCTTTTCTCCTATTGACCAGCCTATTTTTAGTCAGTATCAACCATACTGTTTAATTATAAGATCATATCTGGTAAGATTAATCCTTTCCTCATGATTCTTCTTTTGCAAAATGTTGTTGACTATTTTTATCTGTTTATTCTTACACATTAATATCAGAAAAAATTTGGTAAAATTTCAAAATAAATCTCTTTGGAATTCTCAACTATAAGTCACTTGGCACCCACAATATTTCAGAATATCTGACACATTTCCCCCTTTGGGGGAAAAACTTTATTTCATAAGTGTTTAAATGTCAAAATACTTTGACCTGAAATGATCCCTACACCCTTCAAAAAGAACCAACCCAAGTATTTTTTTCTTTTTTTTTTTTTTGGCCATGCTATGCAGAATGTGGGATCTTAATTCCTTGCTCAGGGATCAAACCTGTGTCTCCTGCACTGGAGGTGCAGAGTCTTGACCACTGGACTGGACTGCCAGGGAAGCCCTCAACCCAAGTTTTCTTCTTCTTCTTTTTTCTTTTACTACAAAAAAAGGGCAACTTACTGTATAAAATCCTAAATTTCTTAAGAGAGTCTTCATCAAAATTTCAGCCAGATGGGTGTCTGGATGGCAGCTCTGAGTGCCATAAGGTTGATCGGACAGGTTTCCATAGCCAGTGCATACGGAAGAGAGGTCAGCAGCATCAGAGGGTGAGCTATACCCAAGTAAGGAGGCTACATGGGTATGATCTTGCAAACTTGTCAGAATAATATCCAGTTGCATTCTCTAAAGAAAAATATTCCCATGGATGAAATAGGAACAAATAATTAGCTTAAAATGCACTAGAAAAGTAAATTTTTAAAAAATCCCAGAAAAAAACAAAAACCTATAATGATGCTAAAATGCGTTTTATATCCTAATAGATGGTAATCTTTTAGAAAATGTGTAGTTTTTTAAAAAAGCTATCCCACTAATACCATTTCAGAAACTGCAACTTAAAGTGTTGTATTACATCCTTACTACCTGAAACTCTAAGCTAAAATGGCACACTATCCATAATAATTTTAGCGCTATAAGTAGGCGGAGGAAATGTCAACAGATAAATTACAGTACATATTCTTCTACAAAATTACCAATGAAATTATCTAATGTTTAAAATAAATCACTTGAAATCTAAACTAATGCAAAATACTCATTGGAAAGCATCTGTGGCTATTATACTGCCAGTAACACTTTTTCCCTTAAATCTGTAACTCTACAATTGATTGTTCTATTTGATTGAGCAAAACATACTTATTTTAATGCACATATGACAATAAAAATGGAAAGAAGCATACTCAAATCATCAAGTACTTTTTCACAACAGTCATCTTCCTTTACTTTTTATATAACTATTTCAAACAAAGTTCTGGGCAGGGAACCAACAGTAGCTCATGCCCTTGATTTCAACTCCACACCCTACAATAAATTCTCTGGCTTGATGGTGTAAACAACATTGAAAAAATTAGACATAATTTTAATAATGAGCCTCAAATCACTTAAGTTATCACTTGCTTCACTTTCATTAGAAGCCTGGGAATTCTTTCAACACAAAGCATTAAATTAGGATGTACCAGTCTCATAAAGTGAAGTATTATTCCATGAACATTGGCAACTGATAGTTTTATTTCCCTCTCAGTCTTTTTTTGATAATATAGTACTGGTTTACTTAGATACCAGACAAAGGCTCACCTGTCCTTTAGATAAGCTTTCCCATCTATCAGGTCCTTGGGGTAAAAGAGAATGAAGTAATTCCATACGTTCTCGTAATGGAGGTAACAGCATGGTTGCTCCCACTGACAGAGTTTCAATTACAACCTTATATTAAAAAAAAAAAAAAAGTAGATGTATTTGGCTTGGTTCTTATATTTTTAATAGGAACATATAAAAAATAAATCCTAAGACTTTAGGACTACTAAGATCAAAGAAGTCTAAAGAAGGTGGATCATAGAAGTCTAAAGAAGGTGGCATATGAATAAAAGAAAGCATGACAAATCCTTCCTTAGACGTCTTTAAGAAAACTAGAATTCTGGATTTGCCACTTCATAGCTAATATTATGCAATAAATATTCAGTGTTGAGTCTAACAGTGTCAAGCCTGATAAAGCTCTTTGAAAAGTGCTGGGAATGTAGCAACCAACGAGACACATAAAGGCCATGCTTACATAAGCACATAGTCTAATAAGAAAAAGAGACCCTGAGTAAGCAACTTTAAGTGCGAAAAGAGTCACACAGAAAAAGTAAAATGAAGTGCAAACTTGAGTGAGCACCCATACATAAAGGCAATTAACACAGTCTATGGGCTTCCCAGGTAGCGTTAATGGTAAACAACCTGACTGCCAATGCAGGAAACATAAGAGATGCAGGTTCAAGCCCTTGGTCTGGAAGACTTATTGGAGGAGGACATGGCAACCCACTCCAGTATTCTTGCCTGGAGAATCCCTTGGACAGAGGAGCCTGGTGGGCTACAGTCCATAGGGTCACACAGAACTGGACTTGACTGAAGCGACATAAGCATACATGCATGGGCTCATCGTGGAGGGTCTCCCTGAGGATTAGGCATTTAGGTTAAAAACGGAGCAGGACTTAGCCAAACAAATGTCCAGGTAGCAGGAACAGCTTAAAAAATAGCTCTATTATCTTAAGCCTCAAACTTCTCTGGGTCATAGCTTCTTTATCACTAAAATAACGGTGCTGAATAAGAAAAGTAGAAGCACTCAGTGATTAAGAAAAGAGCTCTTATAAATTAAAAACATAAGAAAATAAAACCTCAATAGCAGGGTTAGAATATAAAAATTAAATTTCTCATAAAGTAGAGGAGAGAAAAGATGGAAAACAGGAAAGAAAACCTAAGAAAATTAAGAGGAATGATCCAGGAGGTCTATTACCCAATAATGAGTTTCAGAGAGAGAGAGAAAGAACATAGAAAACAGTGAAGAGGAAATCATCACACACTTCAAGGTAATTTCTTAATACTGAAGGCTGTAAGTTTCCAAATTAAGAGTCTAACCAAATAGACACGACAATGGATAAAACTGGACCCACAACAGTTCACATCATTTTAAAATGTGAGAACAGAGAAGCAGAACTTGTTATAGAATCCAGAGAGGAAAAGATATCCATAAAAGGATTAAAAATTTGAATAGCATAGATTTTCTGACTAACAATCTGAAAGCTAGAAGAATTTTTCTACAATTCTTATGGGAAAATCACTGTATCCATTTTGCTTTTTTTTTTAATTGACATATAATTCACATTATAAAATTTAACTTTTGAAAGTATAAAATTCAGTAGGTTTAGTTTATTCAGAGTTGTGTAACCATCACCACTATCTAATTTAGGACATTTTCATCACCCCCATAAAAACCTTGCCCATGAGCAGCCATTTCCCATCTCCTCCTCACCCAAAACTTCTGACAATAAATTAACCTACCTTGTGTCTCAAAGCATTTGCTTACTCTGCACATTTCACACAGTATGTGACCTTCTGTGACTTGTTTCTTTCATTTAGCATGTTTAGAAGATTCACCCATGCTGTAGCCTGTATAAGTATTTCATTCCCTTCTATAGCTGAATAACATTACATTGTATGGACATACATTTTGTTCATCCCTTCTCCAGCTGACAGACATTTGTTTGTTTCCACTTTTTGGCTATAATGAATAATACTGTTATGAACATTCACGTACAAGTTTTTAATAAATTCTCTTAGATATAGACCCAGGTGGAATTGCTACTTTATATGCTAACTGTATGTTTAACTATTTACAGAACTACCTGTTTTCCAAAGTGGATGTATCATTGTATATTCCCATTAGCCATATATGAAGGTTCCAATTTCTCTACATCTTCACCAATGCTCGTTATTATCAGTTTTTTGTTGTTGTTACTGCCACCCTGGGTCTTTGTTGCTGTGTGCAGCCTTCTCATTGTGGTGGATTATCTTATTGCAGAGCACAGGCTTCAGCAGCTGCAGTTCGCAGGCTCTAGAGCACTGGTTCAGTAGTTGTGGTGCATGAGCTTAGTAGCCCTGTGGCATGTGGAATCCTCCTGGACCAGGTTTCAAACCCATATACCCTGCAACGGCAGGCGGATTCTTAACCACTGGACCACCAGGGAAATCCTATTATCAGTCTTTTTGATTACAACCATTCAGTGGGTATGAAATAGTATCTCACTGTGATTTTAATTTGCATTTCCCTTATGCCTAATGATGAACATTTTTTTTCATGTACATACTGGCCTTAGGTATTTCTTCTTTGAAGACATGTCTATTCAGATTTTTGACTCATTTTTTGATTGGGCTGTTTACTGTTGAGTTCTAAGAATCTTTTATATATTCTGGAAACTAGAATCTTATGAGACACAACACATGATTTACAAATCTCTCTCCCATTCTGTGAGTTTTATTTTCATTTTCTTGATATTGTCATTTTAAGCATAAATGTTTGTTAATTTTTTAAAAAGCAAAGACCACTAGCAGCATTGGTAAGTGCTCTTTCAAAGCTGTTGAGCAGGCACAAATTTCTTGTTTCAGATCAAGTGTTACATCTTCAACTTAAGTGTACTCTTCTTTGGTCCTGATGGTTGTTGCAGAGTTTGTTCCTTGAACTGATCTGTACTTGAAGCAACAGTTTCAAGTGATAAATAAAGTCTAATTTGTCCCTCTTCATAACCAACAGCTCAGCACTCCCTCTCCAGCACCAGCATAAAAATAAACGCAATTTAATTTTTATGAAGTCTAATTTATCTTTTTTCTTGGCTGCTTGTGTTTCGACATCATATCTAAGAAACCATTGCTCAATTCAAGGTCATAAAGATGACAGATGAGCAAAAATTTAATATATATAAATAGCAAAGATTATTCAGCCTTAAAAAGGAAATTCTGACACATGCTACTTAACACGGATAAATCATAACAACGTTATGCTAAGTGAAAAAACCACTGACAGAAAGACAATATATGATTCCACTTTTATGACATACAAGTTGTCAAAATCATAAAGAAAGTAGATTGGTAGTTGCTAGTGGCTGAAGGGAGGGAGAGAATAGTATGTTATTGTTTAATGGGTACAGAATTTCAATTTGTAAGATGAAAAGAGAGAGATAAACAGTGGTGATGGTTGTAAACATTATAAATTTATTTAATACCACTGAACTAAACAAAGGGAACCGCTTCAGAAAGGACCGGTGCAACAGATTAAAATCCCTGAAGGTAACACCGACTACACGGGAAGGGGCCTACAGATATCGAGAAGTGTAAGCTGGAAAGAGGAGCTATCTGAAATTGAACTGAACCTACGCTGACCGCAACAAC